AGGAAGTTCAAGCAACCATGCTGGGAGCCCAGGTGGAGGAAGACTGAGCCCCCTGCCAAAAGCCCTAGTCGAGTTCTCAGCCAGCAGCCAGCACCAACTGCCAACCACACGTGTGAGGCTATTTTAGATCTTTCAGCCATGCCAGTGCCCGGATAATACCACACACTGCTCTGCACACTGAAATTAAAAAAAAAAAAACAACAAAACAAAACAAAACAAAAAAAAAACTGCTGTTGCTTTAAGCTGCTAAATTTGGGGAAGTTTTGTTAGAAGGCAATTTCTACCCATTAAACACAGAGTTTAATGTTAGAGCAGAACCTCATGCCTAAAATATAAAGCTGGTTCTCCATCCATCCGTTCCTTCGTTCATTCAAATAAATATTTATTGAACACCTACTACGCTAAATGCTGAGGATACAAAGGAGACCAAATGCAGACCTGGCCCTGCTTATTATCTGAATAAGGGGACAGACTTTAACAGAAATCTAATTATTGAGAACTGGCAAAATGCACTCTGGAATGAGGTAGGTGGTTAAGGAACTGGCATAATCAGACAGATGAGAAAAATAAGTGAAGACTAGGGGTGTCTGGCAGGCTCAGTTGGTGGAGCATGCAACTCTTGATCTCAGGGTTCTGAGTTCGAGCCCAACCTTGAGGGTAGAGATTACTTAAAAATAAAAAATCTTTAAAAAGAAAAAAAAAAAAAGAAGTAAAGACAAAACTTAGGTTTCAAGGAAGATTACAAGTTAAGTAGGCAGACGAGAGAACAAGAGCCTTCCATACAGAAGGTTCAGCATGTGCAAAGAGCCTATGGCAGAAGGAAAGATGGTGTGTTCAAGATCTACGTCCAAAGCTAAAAGATCATGGTTCAATATGAGGCTGGAAACTAGGAGGGGCCAGGCCTTGTAAGACTTGCAGTCCTCATAAGGGCAGCCTTAACAAGGAAAGATCAACAAACCAATCATACTTTGATCACTTTGAAAAATGGGAGTAAACTGGAAGACTCCATCACACAAACTCTATGTACAATGACACCCAGAGTACTTCAATATGCAGCGCACACACCCTCATTCCTTGCTACATTATGTGTACACATCTATGTCTCCATAAGTAGATTACAAAATCCTTTGGGTCTCGGGGCTCTGTCTCATTGATCTTTTCATTCCTCTTTCATAGTATCTAGCACAGTGCTGGGCACATAGAAAATGTTTAATAAATGTTTCCTAAAACTTTAAAACATAAATAAATAGGGGTCCCTGGGTGGTTCAGTCGGTTAAGCATCTGCTTTCCTGCTCAGGTCAGGATGCCAGGGTCCTCTGGGATCGAGCCCCAAATCTGGCTCTTTGCTCAGCAGGGGCGTCTGCTTCTCCCTCTGCCCTCTGCTTGTGTGCATGCTCGCTCTCTCACTTGCTCGCTCACTCTCTCTCTCAATAAAATATTAAAAAATAAATAAATCGGGGCGCCTGGGTGGCTCAGTTGGTTAAGCAACTGCCTTTGGCTCAGGTCATCATCTCAGGGTCCTGAGATCGAGCCCTGCATTGGGCTCTCTGCTCAGCAGGGAGCCTGCTTTCTCCTCTCTCTCTCTCTGCCTGCCTCTCTGCCTACTTGTGATCGCTGTCTGTCAAATAAATAAATAAAATCTTAATAAATAAATCAGATAAATAAATAAATAAATAAAACATGACTAAATAGTCCACTCACAAATAGTCTGTCAGAAGTGATCTCCTAGGAGAAAATTCTACAGACTCATTTGGAAAGCCATTCCAATGATAGCAACCTTCTTAATTAAGAAAACCTTGCTGTAAAACATCATTCCTTTCCTGACTGTAGCAGTTCTTGAGTTTCATCCTCAGTGGAGACGGAGAACCGTCCATCACATTTCCAAAGAATGCCTTTGGTGTACACTTTGAAGATCATTATTGGGTCACCCAGCTCTCTATTCTTTCAGTGGCAAAAGACTTCATCTTCTCACCTTTCCTCAAAGAAACCAAGTAGTTGTTCCCTGGACTCATTCCAAAATCTCCATCCCTCCTTGATTGTGGAGGCCAGCAATCTAGGAGCCCACGAAACAAGGTCAAAGACGCCTAAAGGGCTCTGTGAGCAGTAATCCACAGAGGACAGCAGGCTCATTTTCTCAGGTTGCTTGTCTTCAGGCCAACTCACATGTGCACACACACAAACACAAAAACTTTTCACCAGTTTAAAGAAAAAACAGTTTACTAGGTGAATTTGCCAACTGTCCGCTGTTCTTCACCACCAGCCCCATCGTACCCATTTGATTTGACATATTTTTTTTGTGAGGGGAACACTTTCCCTAATTTTACAAATAATATGACACCAGAAATGAGCAGCACTATTTTGCTGGCATTCCCACTATCTTCTTCATGTGTGAAGGCACCACACCGACTAAAATATCCTCAAGAAATTCCATCACTCCAGTGTATCAAGAATTCAAAAACAGTAAGTCACTGGTCATTCTACAAATAATGAGGCTCTAATAACATAAACAGCTACTGTGCTTTTTTTTTTAAGATTTTTTATTTATATATTTGACAGACAGAGATCACAAGTAAGAAGAGAGGCAGGCAGAGAGATAGAGGGAAGCAGGCTCCCCACGGAGCAGAGGGCCCGATGCAGGGCTCGATCCCCCCTGGACCCTGGGATTATGACTTGAGCCGAAGGTAGAGGCTTTAACCCGCTGAGCCACCCAGGTACCCCGCTGTTGTGCTTTTTTTAAAAAATGTTTTTTTGGGACTCAGGTGAAAACTCTTCAATTTTACTTCAAAAAATACTGTTAAATTCTAATATTGCAATAACTTTTCATCTCTTGTCAAAGAAACAAAAATCCCAGTTATTGTAGCCACTATAGAAGTCTACATTATGCCATTTAAACAAGATCATGTGTAAGATACTTACTGAACTGTAAGTGCTCACAAAAATTATGCATTATTTTTACACAGAAAGAAATAGGAAAGTTGTGTATATAATGCAAATACAGATAACTCCTGAATTTAAATTAGACCATTTTATTAAATCAACAAATCCCACTTTCAGAAAAACTAATGAAATATATTTATTCTAAAAATGTGCACTGTTTGGGGTGTCTGGGTGGCTCAGTAGGTTAAGCCAATTGAGTGTCTGCCTTTGGATCAAGTCATGATCCCAGGGTCCTAGGATCAAGCCCCACATCCGGCTCCCTGATCAGTGGGGAGCCTGCATCTCTCTCTGCCTATAGCTCCCCCTGCTTGTGCTCTCTATCAAATAAATAAATAAAATCTTTAAAAATAAAAATAAAAAATAAAAATCTACATTGTTTAAATAACTCCCAAAATTATTAGCATGCAATATTTTACATTTTTAAGACAATACATAACAACGCTCTTAACAAGAACTTATACATGCATTAATCTCAATCATTTATCGGAGTAAATTGAGGAAAGAATAGGAATATTAAAAAAATATAGATTGTTTTGTTTGTGGTTAGAAGAGTAAAGCATTAGTGAAGTGATAGTGTAGATGAACTCAAAAGTTTTAGTCAGACAGTTCAGGGACTACACTGCTGTATAATTAGTATTTCTAAGAATTCACAACAAAAAGTCACTACCAAAAATAGGCACCTACAAAATAAACATCAACAAGATCTCAGTCACATTAAGTCAAAAATGTTTTAAAGATGAGGAATGTCTTTGCTTTATCAAATACACAAATGACCTAAGCAAGCATTGCAAAGGGGATAGAATGCACTTTTAGGATGAATTCAGGATCCAAAATATATTTATTTTAATAATGCAAATGCTTGCTGTTCACTGAATTAAATAGTAGTAATAATTTGTTTACAGAAAATTAGTATCTGCATAATAAATATTATCTAAATAAGTTTTAGGAACTCTTTAGGAGAAGTCTGAGTCCAATTTTGAATCTAAAACCCATTTGTCATGTATAATCTGTTTAAATTGATGATATTCACTAAGGAAACACACCACTGCTGCCGTCATTGGTTAAGAACACATTACACAATGCTCTGAGTGACCTAGAGGGAAAAGAACTTCCCAAGGTCACTCCAGCAGCCCACAACACAGCCCGGGATAAAGGCGTCTTGGGGCGACGACCACAGGTTTCCTAAAGCACACACCTCCACAGTTTCTGTTCCAAAGAAAGATCAAGGTGATTCACTTTTTTCGTGATCTCGCTAGCACCCAGCAGCTGTGGAGAGATGCTTTCATTTACAGCACATGGGCAGTACAAAAACTAAGGACCCATCTCCTGTGTCAAGGTGAAAGAGATCTAAGCATTCCGTGTAAGCGGCGACCGTCAGCACACAGAACACTCACCAGAAGTACGCGGAAGGAAACCATCACTAAGAAAACAAACACGGAGTGTAGTACCACCCAGACCCCGGGACTGAGTGCCTGCCTTGGCTTATTCTGATTCAACCAGATCTGGGCAGTCCTTGCCTCGTTAACCGAAGCAAAGAATAGGTCCCAAGTGACACCAAACTTTGTGCTCAAAGTGTCTTTCATTTGACCAGAGCTCGCGGGACTCTCTCAAGACCTAGACAGAGAAGTGTTCGAAATAGGGCAGAAATCGCAGAGACCACGGACTGTCCGCCAAGTCAACCATGTGCCGGGCCCCTGGTTACTCAAACTCAAGCATACGACTTGAAGACGCGTCTCCACACACAGAAAGTGCAACTAGAAACACTTTTCAGTCAAATTCAGTATCCCTGCCCTAAGCCAGGTCTCCAGCAACTCGCGTCCGCACGCACGAACTTGCAGAGCGGCGCGGAGCCTCCCGGCCGCGAAGACTGGGGGCGCGGGGGGGCTGCGGAAGGAGGACGCAGCGGCAGCGCGCCGCCCCGGCCGGAGAGAGGCGCGCAGGGACGCGACTCGCCGCTCCGGCTCATGGGGGCAGCGCTCGGCTCGCGGACCCTAGCGCGGCGCACCGGGCCTTCTCCCCAGCCTGCCCACACCCCCCGCCGCCGCCCCGAGTCCGCCTCCTACCTGTCTGAGGATGAAGCTTGTCGAAGTGGTGCTGCCATCGGATCTTTTCAACCTGCTCCTCCGGGTCGTGGTGCCTCGGGCCACCTGGATTCGACACACGGGGCCAGAGAGAAGCCGGTGAGGACCGAAACGTGGAGCCGGGCGACCACCCCGGGCTAGAGTCCGCCTGCGGACCAGCTCGCCGGGGTCTCCCAGAGCCCGCACCCCGGTCTCATCCGTGGTCCCCACATACAGCCCCCACCCCCACCCACCCAGCACAAGCCTCGACGGCTGAAAAGATGCCCGGGAAGAGCAGCCCGCGAGCACCCACCACATCCATTAACAAAGACTCTCGGGGTGCGGGGTCCGAGTCCCCGGCATCGGCTGGGGAAGGCTGCGGGCTCCAGAGAGGGAGGGCTGAGACCGACGAGGTGAGGAGGTGGAGGAGGAGGAGGAGGAAGGGGAGGAGAAGACAGAGGAGGAGCTGGAGGAGAGAGGGACGCGGAGGAGGGGTGGCAGCGCTGGGCGACAGACTCCTAGGACTGGGGGCCCCGCGCGGCCAGCTGGAAGGCGGGGCGCTCTCGGGCCGCCGGGGCGTGGGGAGGAGAGCGGGGGGAGGAGGGGGCGGTACCTGAGAGGTGGGGGAGTGCGGCGCGTCCGCCGACCGGTTCTTGGCGTAGGAGGAGGACATGGTTCAGGGCCGCATGGCGGGTCGGTGCACGGCGCGCGGTGGGCGGTGCGCGGCGGGCGATGGGCGGTGCGCGGCGGGAGGGCAGGCCCCGGAGGCTCGCGAGCCGGTGGAGAGGAGGGCGGCAGGACTTCTCCGCGGGGCTGCGAGACCCGCGCGGACTCAGGGCTCCCTGCCCGCACTTCGGAGAGCGCGGCACTTTAAAGGGACCTAGGCGCTTCCGCAGCGGGGTCCCGAGCAGCGGCCCCCGCAGACGGAGGTCCCGCGGAGGGGGCTTCTGGGGATCTCGCCTACCCGCGCTGATCGGAGAAGCGCTCCCCCCCAGCGAGCGCCTTACATCAGAGCTTTCTAGAGGATGAAAGGAGGGGGGAAATCTGGGATGGGGGTGGGAGGATTAAAATAGTCTGCACAGTTTCAAATGAGACAAAGGTGGCACGGTTCATGAATCAGGACTTGGGGAGGGATGCTGCTGCAGTGTGGCAGGGAGTGAGAAGAGCGGACCGGGCGTGTGTGTGTCTGTGTGTGTGAGCGCGTGTGTGTTTGGTGCACTGGAATTTTAAAAGGGCAAGAGCAGAACCTTCCTTCCGCAACTTCACTCATCAGCCCACTGTGGTAAGGCATGTGGGTTTGTGGTTTGTTTTCTGTGCGTGTTTTTGTATTGTTTTGTCAACTATAGCTTCACAACCCCCGAGCCGTACACATCCAGGCGGCCGCGGGAGACCCTGCCAGCCTGAGTCTGACGGGAGATGCAGCCCCGCAGGAGATTAGGGTGTCCTAGGGAGTTTTGAAGGTCATGTTCGATCTGCTAAAAAGCAAGAGTTGGCCACGTGCCTCCCATTTCTACGCCGATAGCTGTTTTCAAGGGAGGAAACTCATCCTTAAAACCGTACACAACCCGTGCCATTGTTGCAACGCTTGGTTTCCTCCCGCACATAAAAGAGATTAATTTGAAGTCAAATTAAATGCAAACTGTGGAGAAGAGGAATTTGAAGTACTAAGAAGAGGGAAGAAAAATATATGAGAATTCAAAACTAAGGAGACCCGTTTATAGTTATTGCATGGGAAACCCGTCAATAAAATGTACATAGTATCTCAAACTGCTAAATCAGCCCATGTCACCTCACATTCTAGTATTATTTTTGATGGAAACTGCCATGTTTGTCTTAACAATTGGCTGCTTATCGAGGTCCTGATTTATATTTTATCACCCACCAAACACTTCCTTTCCATTCCTGCCTTCTTCACTTAATCCACACCTTCATTTCTTTGTAACAGTCTAATAAGAAGTCTTTTTGCCTCAGGGCTCTGCCTGTGCGAGCTTGTGCACACACACACACACACACACACACACACACACACACACACATTCATTCCAACTACACACTACAGGCAAAGTCATTTTCCTAAAATCTCTTGGCCGAAGTCATTTTTCTCTAAAAAGCACTCCTTGCTCTCAGCAGCCGGCAAGACAGGGTCCAACAACCAAGCCCCTCCTCTCCCCGCTGCTTTTCTGGTCACCACTCCATTTCTCACTTAAATCTTTGTACAGACCTTCCGGCAAGCAGGCAGGTCTACTCATTATTGCTCAAACAGACCAAATTCAATCCCACTTCAGCGACCAAATGCAATCCCACTTCAGCGCTTCTGCCTTGGAATGTGTCCTCCCTCCAGGCCACCCACCCAGTGGAATCCTACCTTTTCCCCCAAACTTACTCCTGCTGACGCTTCCTACACACAAACCCACCCTGATCACTCCAGACCTGGAGAGTTTCCATGCCTATGAAAAACTGGAGTACTTATTCCCTGGACGTTTAGTACAGACTGCCTTGGTTTATTCTCTTTTTATGAAAATTGCCTAATTTCCAAAATGGATGTTTAGCTTTTTATCTTGTATTTTTATACCTTACATATAGTAGATATTTTCTAAAGTTTATGAGTAGTGGGATGTCTGCCAATGCAGAACTCCTTGCTTTAGTTGCCATCGACTCAGTCCATTTTTAGCTCTGAGCCATTTTAATAGCTGATATTTCATCAATATATAGAGAATGAATTATTATGTGGGCACCAAAATTTGTGTTTTCTTGTTTTCCACTGCCCACAGTCACTGACTTTGAGTTATGAAAAAAGAACCTATAGCAGCCTGACAGTGAAGAGCTCTCTGCATCTACCCTCCAGCAACACTGGTGAAGATGGCTATTTTTCTTTAATTTAAATCTCTGGAATGCTCCTAAGGGTACACAACAAATAAAGAAACATTTATTCAAGAAAATTCACTAAAACTCAGACAGAAAAGTGAAAGTCTGTGGTATTTGACCAGGATCCACTCCCTCCTCCCCTGCTTCCATCCCGCTCAGCGACAGAGAAACTCCATTCCACACTGGTGCACCCTGGAACACAGCCTTTCCTCTCCCATCAGCTCCAGTGGGAGGGTTCTCTTCCTTGGAGGGACAGGACATCAGCATTTATCATCCTACCCCACATCCTTGTTGCTGAGGTTAAATTCCCATCAAATACAGAGGAGAGGAATGAGCTCCCTGCTTTGGCCCAGCCCCCAACTCATGGGATGGAGGCTCTACCTTTGGCATGGTGCCACTGAGAATACTAGGGCCCTGACTGCTCACATAGAGGCAAGCCTGGAGATCGGGGGTGCTTGCCTCTCCCTACCAAGTGCTCAGCTCCTAAAGTGAGGGTGTCACTCAAAGAGAGGTACACCATTGTCCCTGCCCCCAGCACCAGACCTGAAAGAATGATGTTGGACCCTTACTTCATATACATACAAGAATTAACTCAAAATGGACCAAGGATGGATATGAAAGAGGTAAAAATGTAAAACTATTGGAAGGAAATGTAAGGGTAAGTCTTCATGACTCAGATTTGGCAGTGGATTCTTAGATATGACACCAAAAGTATAAATAAATAGATAGATAGATAGATAGATAGATAGGACTTCACCAGAATTAAAAACACTATCAAGAAAGTGAAGGCAGGTGTGCTTGGGTGGCTCAGTGGGTTAAGCCTCTGCCTTTGGCTCAGGTCATGATCTCAGAGTCCTGGGATCGAGCCCTGCATCGAGCTCTCTGCTCAGTAGAGAGCCTGCTTCCCCTTCTCTCTCTGCCTGCCTCTCTGCCTACTTGTGATCTCTCTCTGTGTCAAATAAATAAACAAAATCTTTGGGGGAAAAAAAAAAAGTGAAGGCAACCCACAGAATGGGAGAAAATATTTGCAAAGTGTATAACAGATGAGGGACTCCTATCTATAATATTATGTAAGGAAATCTTACAACTCAGTAATAAAAAAAATCCAATTTTAAAAATGGGCAAAGAAGGGTGCCTGCTGGGTGGCTTAGTCATTTAAGCATCTGAGTCTTGATTTTGGCTCAGGTCTTGATATTGGAGTAGTGGGATCAAGCCATGCATGGACCTCTACACTCGGCTAATCGTCTGCTGGAGATTCTCTCTTTCCCTCCCCCCTGCCCCTACCCCACCCCATCCCATCCATACCCTTGAGCACTCTAATTAATTAAGTAATTAAGAATGGGCAGGGACACCTGGGTGGCTCAGTGGGTTAAGCCTCTGCCTTCAGCTCGGGTCATGATCCCGGGATTCGAGCCCCACATTGGCTCTCTGCTCAGCAGGGAGCCTGCTTCCCCCCTCACTCTGCCTGCCTCTCTGCCTACTTGTGATCCCTCCCTCTGTCAAATAAATAAATAAAATCTTTTTTAAAAACAGGCAAAGGATCCGAATTAACATTTCTCCAAAAAAGATATCCAAATGTCTGATAAGCTCATGAAACAATGCTTGACATCATTAGTCATCAGGGGAATGAAAATCAAAATCACGAGATACCACTTTACATCCACTAGGATAGCTATAATCAAAAACAAGTGTTGGCAAAGACACAAAGAAATTGGAACTATATTACACTGCTGATGGGATCATGAAACAGTACAGCCACCGTGGAAAACACTTTTGACAGTTCTTCAAAAAGTAAAACACTGAGTTACCATATGACGCAGCAAGCTACTCCCAGGTGTGTAACTGAGACAAATCAATGAGTATGTCCATGTAAAAACTTGCACAAGAATGTTCAGCATCATTCATAATTGCCCAACCATAAGCAACCCAAATGTGTACCAGCTGATGAATGGTTTTAAAAAGTGTGGTATAGGGGCGCCTGGGTGGCTCAGTGGGTTAAAGCCTCTGCCTTCGGCTCAGGTCATGATCCCAGGGTCCTGGGATCAAGCCGCATTGGGCTCTCTGCTCAGTGGGGAGCCTGCTTCCTCCTCCCTCTCTGCCTGCCTCTCTGCCTACTTGTGATCTCTGTCTGTCAAATAAATAAAATCTTAAAAAAAGAAAAAAGTGTGGTATATCTATCAATGGAATATTGTTCTGCAATAAAAAGGAATGAAGCACTGGTACATGCTACAACATGGGTGAGCCTTGAAAATATTATGCTAAGTGAAAGAAAGCAGTCACAAAAGGTTATATATTGTATGATTCCACTTATATCCAATGTCCAGATTGGGGATATCTTTAGAGACTAAAAGTAGATTACTAGCTTCTTAGGGCTAGGAAGGCTGGGAATTATTGAGGTGATAGCTAAATGTACAGGGCTCCTTCAGACTGAGGGTTTCTGGAGGGAGGTGGGTGGGGGATGGGCTAGATGGGGGATGGGTGTTAAGGAGGGCTCTTGTGATGAGCACTGGGGGTTGTATGGAAGTGAGGAATCACTAAATTTCACTCCTGAAGCCAATATTATACCATACATTAACTAACTAGAATTGAAACAGAAAGTTGGGGGGGAAAAGAAAGAAAAAAATTTTAAGTTAAAAAAAAGGAAAAAAATACAAGGCTTCTTTTTGAGGTGAAGAAAATGTTCTAAAATTGATTATAGTGATGGTTGCACATATTGTGAATATGCTAAAAACCACTGAAGAGTATACTTTAAATGTATGGTATTTGGAGTCTCTCAATAAAGCTGTTATTTTTATACGAACCTAAATG